CATGTACGCCTTCTACTCGCTGCTCATCTACATCTTCTACAGCCTTTTCCGCAGGGATGGAGGGGCCGGGGCGTCCGCCGACTCCAGGGACCCCGCCCAGGTGAGCGGGGGCGGACGCAGCACGACCTGCAATCCCCTTCCTGAGACGCAGCGGGTGGTGCAGGCCCGCGCAGCGCAGGTCACCAGGGCGCTGACTCGGGGGAGGAGGGCCGTGCAGAGGACCCTGTCTCTGCTCGGGTTGCAAGCAGAGACCCTTGTGGCCCAGTTCCCGGAGGGAGGCTGCCCGGCCTCTCCTCAGGCGCTTCTCCTGCTCCCTCCCTAGAGTGCCCGCTGCAAGCCCGGGGATCGCCGCCGTCCCCACCAGCCCCCTGCAGAACTGTGGACCGAGCTGACCGGCCTGGTCGGTAGGTGCTGTCGTGCGTCCGGAACGCTGCGTCCCCGGGGCGATGAGGAAACCCCGCCGCCGTCCGAGAGGGAGAGGTGTCCGTGACCTCATTGGGAGGGATACCGACAGGTGCCATCCGGAAGCCTGTCCTCCAGCACGTGACCCAGCATGCCTCCCCCTCACACTACCTGGCCTTGCAGGCTGCGCAGAGTCGGAAGATGAGCCTGGAGAGGGATCCGAGGGCCGCCCCGCTGAGGTCTCCCTGGAAGAGGCTCTCGTGCGTCTTGCCGAGTTCCTTTCAGTCCAGCTGGGGGCGGAAGAGAGCTGCGGGTATCCTGCCGGTCTGAGCAAGGTGAGCCGGCCAAGGGTTCTTGCTGCCCAGTCCTGGCCTCCCCACCCAGGGACCCCCTTGGTTTCTTGCATTCTGAATCTTATCTCCTTCACAGCCTGGTGATGTCCCCCCACTGTTGACGGTGACTGGTCAGCTCTTGGCTCTCCTGGCATGGATTCGGAGCCCCAGGGGGAGGCAGGCCCTGCCCCAGGAAACTCAGCCAGCCTCGAGGGTGCAGCCCCCCACTACTGCTGGTGCGTTAGAAATAGTGATTTGAAAAGGGAGTGTGTGGAGGGAGTGAAGACTACCAGGACCTGAGCAGCCTGGAGTGCGGGATCCCAAGCCCTGCTCCCGAGGTGCCCCCACTGCAGGCCAGAAACCTCAGTCAGTCTTAACTGCACCCCACCCACCCCAGGACCCACAACCCAAGAAAACCCTTCCCTTTCACCGAGGGCTGAGGCCCAGGGGCAGCAGCCCCCCCAGTTGGCGGAGGACCAGAGGGCTTGGCAGCAGCTGGAGCAGCTCGTTCTTGGACAGGTGAGGGACCCAGGAAGGGGTAGACACTGGGGGGCTGGAAGGAGGTGCTCCACCCTGTCCCCCTTTCTCCTTCCCAGCTGGAGGAACTGAAGCAGCAGCTGGATCTGCAGGAGGAAGGGCTGGGCCAACTTCACCTGGGAGTGGTGAGGCTGCTAGGCTGGGCTCAAGTAGGGGCGGGGAGAGGGGCCAGGGCTCTCAGGTGAGTCCAGAGATCTCCCTCTCCTCCAGGGGGCGACAGACTCCGAGAAAAGGGTGCAGCATCTAACCCTGGAGAACGAGGCCTTGAAACAGAGCCTGATCCTCACTCAGGATCTCCTGAGACACTGGGGTGCTGGCCTCCCTGCCAGGGCTCCCCAGGTATTCTTCCCTGACCTGCTACTGTCCCTGCAGCCTGGGGCTCTTGCACACCTGGTCTCCAGCAACATCGCCCTCAGGACCTGGTGCTCTGTGGAACAGAGGCAGGGGGGCGCTCTCTGACCTTCCAGGACCAGGATGTGGACAGGCCCAGGGCAACCCCATGGAGGAGACTGATGCCCCCTCCCCCAAACACACACACACACGCCATGGGTCCTCTGAGTGACTGACCCCAGGCGAGTGAGGGACTTGGGGTAAAGTCCTGCATCGATTCATGATTGGCTCTGTCTGCCCCTCTTGACCTGACTTCCCCTTGTGTGCAATGGGGCTGCTAGAATGCCCCTCCCCGAGTTTCCTTCTGGCTCCATGGCTCCCACCCCTCCTGCAGGAGGAGGCAGAGGCACTGGTGGAGCTCCAGGGCCAGCTTCAGGAGGCCCAGGAGGCCACAGAAACCCTCCGAGTCCAGGTGAGTGCTCGGTCCAGGGGCTGGGAAGACGGAGGCACTGGGAGGGGGATGTCTGAGGCAAGGCCTGGTAAGTGCCTACTTCCTCAGTGACTGGGTGGGGTGGGGCAGCTGGGGGTGCAGGAGGTGCAGCTGCAGGGCCTCCGGGGGGCCCTCCGGCAGCTCCAGCAGGAAACAGAGCAGAGCTGCAGAAGGGAGCTGCAGCAGGTGCACGGGCAGCTGGCAGGTGAGACCTGGGGCCGGGGGCTCCTGGGAAGGTCACGGGGTTGGGGCTTTCCCTCACAACCCCCTTCTCCCACCAGGACTCCGGGCACGCATGGCCAGCCTGCGTCAGGGCTGCGGGGACCTCCGCGGTCTGGTCAGCACCTTTACCCAGAGCTGCCAGGGCTCCCTGAGCGAGGCCCGGGGCCAGGTCAGGACCGCCTGCTCCCTCTCCAGTGTGTGCGCCGGGGCAGCCAGTCAGCGCCCTCCCCTTAGGGAGCCCCTCTTTCCTCCTTCCCAGCCCCAGGGAGCTGCCTGCTCTGATGGGCTGTAGGTTCTGGAATCAGGACAGCTCCTGTGACCCAGGTGTTACCTCACTTCTGGGTCTCATTTTTGTCGTGTGCTCACTGGGGTGACGGTGAATCCCTCACAGGATTGTCAAGAAGCCCAGAGGAGACAAATGACATCCTTGCCCATGGTCCTGATTGGCGGGCTCCATCCGGGCCCACTGAGTGACACCCCTAGGGACCCCAGCCACTGAATGTTGTGGATTCCCACAGCTGGTGGCCATACAGCGGCTCCCTATTGCCCTCAGCACCCCTCCCCTCTCCTTGGCTGTCCCTCCCTGCCTTGCTCACATCCCTGTTCCCTAGGTATCCTGGGCCCTGAGGGCACTGTCAGTCAATGGGGCGGGGCCTCAGCTTCCCGAAGGGCAGCAGGAGCCCCCAACCGGATGCCCAGGGCGGCTACTGGAGCTCAAGGGTATGGCCACTGGGGAACATGGGGGTGGGGTGGGCAGGCCAGAGGAACTGGAGCCTCTCTGTGCCTCAGGGTCTGGGAGGCAGCCCACTGCTGTGATCTCAACCCCAGGAAATATCCGCGTGCTGTGTCGGCTGAGGCCAGGGACGCCCTCCAGCCTGGTGAGCTCGGAGCCCGGCCCAGGCGGCACGGTCACCACCTGCTATCGAGGGCACCAGCGTCGCTTCCGCCTGGACTGGGTCTTCCCTCCAGACGCCAGCCAGGAAGAGGTGATGCTCCACCCTCACACCTGTGTTGACCCTCCCTCAGAGCCCCCAGAGGCTCTGGTGCCCCTTTCCTGCCCTTCTGCCCTCCCAGGAGCAAAAGTGCCCAGATCCCAGCAGGGAAGGGAGGGGAGGCAGGACTGGAAGCCGAGCTGGGCACATACATTCCTTCCAGGGTTTCCCCTCTGCGTCCCCTCACCAAGCTGTGCAGGCCCAGGGGGAACAGACAGTAAGGTTTAACATTTAAAAATAATGTTTTTACCGGGAAACTAAAGAAAATGAACCTGTCTGAGATCACTGTTCATGCAGAGCTGGCTGGGGAGCGTAGCTGGGGTGCTGCTGAGGTGGGGACGGTGCCGTGACCACCTTCCCCCCTGGCTTCCCGGGCTGCCTGCTCCATGGCCAGGGCCCAGAGTCTGCCAGCTGTGAGGACAGGCAGCCCTCCTTGCTTTGTGGCCAAGGGCATGGACAGGGCCCTGGCAAGCCGGCAGCGAGCCTCCAGCCTCTGGGCTCAGTTACCCTGTGCGGACCCCACCCCTTTCCTGCCAGACCCAGCAGAAAAGCTGAGGCTTAACCCAGCCACCACCACCCTGCTTCACACACACCATGTGTTGCACACACATTTTGCTGCTGGAGCTTCTGGAGCTCAGGAAATGGAGGCAGGCCTTAGGGGGGATTAGGTCAGGGCAGAGCTGGCTGAGAAGCAGAGTCCTGTTGGCCTCGGGGTGGCCAGGTCTCCCTCCCCCATGTCCTGGGTACTACAGCTGTTTCCCACCTGCCTCTTCACCTGACACACTAGCCAGGCCTCAGTCCCACCTACACTGCAGTCCTGCACTGGGGTGGGGAGGGGGCTTGTCCTGGACAGGACTCTCCAAATCAGTGTCTGGGTGAGAGTGAAAGGCATCTCTCGGTGCCATGTCTGCACTGGTGCCTCTGTCACCCCCAGTCCTTCCTTCCAGAGATGGAAGCTTAGGGACCAACTCGCAATGCTGGACTCTGCTCCCCTGGCTGGCAGCCGGCACGCTCAGCAGAAATGACAGCTCATCCACTTACCAGCCTTCTATGCACGAATGCTGGCCATGCCATTGCTCACAAGGCTACTGTTGATGTCCAGTTGCCAACAGGACACAAGTCACAGCCCCATCTCCCCCCAGCCCTTTCTGCACCCTCCCAGGGCCGAGTCCCAGCATCCTGGTGGGCCAGCGCTCCCACCCCCCACCTCCCGGGCCTTTCTGGGCTCACCCTTGCTGTGGAGAGCACCACTGTAGCCCCTGGGCACATGTTCCCCCTTAACCCTCCAACAGTGGTCTCCTGTGAGGGGAGGCCTTGCAATCATGCCCTGGGGGTTTGACCCGGGCAGTGACTACGAATGCCCTGGTCCTCCCACGTGGTCACCAGGATACCAATACTCTGCACGCCTGTTCCCTCTTCCTGTCACACTGCTCCCTTTGCCGGGCAAGTTCTCGTCCAGGGAGCCTCCTCTGCCTGGCAGGAGACCCCCCCCTTCCAGCAAACTCCCCCCAGAACCGTCCTTCCAGGGCACTTGAGCTTTGGAATAAAGCTTGCCCAGGTCCAGGGCTCAGGACCCTCCCCACACCCCTAGGTCTTCAGGGAGCTGGAGCCCGCGGTGCTGTCCTGCCTCCGAGGCTACAGTGTCTGCATTTTCACCTATGGCCAGACAGGGACTGGAAAGACCTACAGCATGGAGGTGGGAAGGGGGTGTGTGTGCACTGGGTGGCTCCTGGGGCCAGGGACTAGGACGTGAGCCCCATGTGGCACCCACCCCCTCTCCAGGGCCCACCCGAGGACCCCGGCATAGCTCCTAGGGCGCTGCAGTCACTGTTCCGGGAGATGAGGGCCGGAGGGCACCCCCGAGTGACCCTCAGCATGGTGGAGATCTACAACGAGGCTGTCAGGTCAGGGCGACACCCTAGCTGCCTCCTAGCCCCCCCCCCTTTGCCAAGAACCCCTGAACCGAGGCCTCACCTTTCTCACCAGGGACCTCCTAGCCCCCGGGCCCCCTGAGCGCTTGGCCGTGCGGCAGGGCCCTGAAGGTCAGGGAGGGATCCAAGTGGCCGGCCTCACGTACTGGGATGTGCCCAACCTGGAGACCCTGCACCAGGTAAGGCTGCCCAGTGGGGCCGCACAGCTGTGCTCACACCTGGGGCTGTGGACCCCGCAGTAAGCCAAGCCTTGTCGCTGCGCGTTCCAGATGCTGAGCCTGGGGAGGAGCAACCGGGCCACCGCCGCCACCGCCATGAACCAGCACAGCTCTCGCTCTCACGCGCTGGTCACGCTGACACTGGAGGCAGCGTCTCCCCCGCGCGGCCCAGGC